GACATAACAATGATAACACAAACTCGTAAAAAAAACGTTAGTTAACAATTTAATTATTTTTTTGTAAAATGGTGATATAACTTTTATTACCGTGGAATCATATTGTTTGAAGTGTCTAGATAACACAAAAATTTTTTAAAATTTTTCAATTAATATTTAATTGCATAAAAAAATTATTAAAAAAGTACGCTCACTAGAGTGGCAGCACGCGCATGCCGAAACTGCCGCGCAAAAGCCGATTTTCAACGCTTAATTAAAATTATAAACATTGGAGCTACAACTTCGGGAGTCCAGAACTTTTTTACTAAAATTTTCTGCTCTTTCCGAATCTTTTTTAATATTTGAGCTATCACTTATACTTTTTGAGATTTTGCCAAAAAGCTGGACGGCTAATTCTTTTAACGGTTTTTTGTTAATAACAATTGTAATTTGCTTTTCCTCAAAAAATCCAAAAAACTCCTTTTTCTAGACGCCATTCCGGATCGTTTAAGCCATCAACCATATTTTTAGGAGACTTGGAACTATTTTTCCATAATTTTTCTATAATCAAGTGATTTCTAAAAAAAACTTATTTGTTAAGGGTACAAATTTGACAAATTCATAAAATGATTTTCATAAAAAATTATTTTTTCAGACACCACTTAAAAAAATCCAAGACATCATAGGAAAAAATGGAGTATCTTTTTTGAATTGTGTGAGTTATTATTTCGTATATTTTAGTGATTACTTCATAACACCTTTTAACTTGAAATTGATGATTATTTATGGAGTTAATTTGGTATATCAATACACCAAAAATACGGTTTCTGGTTTCTTATTGGTTGAAATTGAAGCGTGAGCTTTCTATATAATCATATATAATTGTATATAATCATATATTATTATATATAGAATCACATATATAATAATAATAATAATAATAATAATAATAATAATAATAATAATAATAATAATAATAATAATATATAATGTTTATTTAGCTATTTAGCTATGTACAAGTCATTTACAATTTTATTATGATAATACAAATATATATTAGTTATGTTTCATACTATCAAAAAGTCCTATATTCTCTTTTTCATATTGTTTTAAATCAATTTTAAAAATATTAATCCTTTTTTCGTTCATAACTTCACATGGAAGCTTATAATACCAATTTAAACCTCTATATATAATAGATTTTTCTGCAGTTAGTGTCCTGGTTTTTGATAAAGTTAAATTTGACGCTGATCTAGTTTGATAGTGTACAGTTTTAAATTTGAATTCATCTAACAAATATTTAGGAAGCAGATTATTTAAAATTTTGTGTATGAAAAGACAGGAATTAAAAACTATTTTTTGCCTTACAGACAACCAACCTAAAGTTTCAAGCATAGATTCTATTTTGTGTATTTATTGACGCTTAATATTATGCGCATTGCGCGATTTTGAAGTTTTTGTAATTTATTTAAAATATTTTCATCATAATTCAACATTATTGTACAGCAGTACTCAAAATGCGGCAGTACTATTGTTTTATATATTTGACATTTAACATAATTTGTAACATTATTATTTAATCTATTTATAACATTAATTTTTTTGATTATTTTTTTACTAATATAATCTGCATTCTGTTTAAAATTCAAATTATCGTCAATTATGATGCCGAGATATTTAGTTTCAGTTACGTATTTTAATTCATGATCATTTATTACTACTCTAAAATTATTCCGAATGTTTTTAATTCGTTGGTCATGAATTACCTTCATGACTGTCTTTTTAATATTAATTTTAAGTTGATTATTATTTATCCAGCAATATAATTTTTTTAAACAATCATTTAGTTTATTTTCAATAATGTTTAAATGAAGTCCACGTACAGAAATCATTAAATCATCGGCAAACAATTTAATATCTACTCCTTCTTTTTTTAAAACACTAATTATCTCATTTAAATAAATATTAAAGAGGACAGGACCTAATTTTGAACCTTGTGGTACCCCAAATTCTACTTTCTGTTCATCTGAGAACACACCTTGAAATTTCACTCTCTGATATCTATCCATGAGATATGACTCGAACCATTTAAGTACTGTATTTCTTAAACCCATTGTATATAATTTTTTCAGCAGTTTTTTTCGACAAATAGTTTCGAAAGCGCGTGCAAAATCAACAAATATGACTCCAGTAAATAAACCTTCGTCAAGATTTTTTCGCCAATTAATCAGTGAGTGCTGTAGGGTTGTTTCACAAGAGTGATTTTTCTGGAAGCCTGACTGTTCGGCGGAAATTAATTGATTAATATCTATAAAATTATCTAATTGGGTTTTGACAACTTCTTCTAATATTTGTTCTAGTACCGGCAATGTATTGATAGGTTTTAGTTCATCAGCTCTAATTGTGCCTTTAACTTTTTGTAGTGCATGGTGTTATGGTTGACGTTTTCAAACTTTGGGGTACCACACCTAATTTTAACGATGTATTTATTATATTAACGAGTATATCACTTTTAGCTATCCATATTAATTGAATGATGCTAGCATTTACGTCATTATTCTTGCATTTATTACAGTCTAAGTTATTTACAATTTTATTTATTTCATTAAAACTTATTTCATTAAACGTTTCCCAATAGTTGACGTTATCACAGTTATTATTATCAGTTAGCTCATCAAAGTTAATAATATTTGTTAAATTAGGATTACTATTTATATTATTTACAATATTTCTTATACTGGCAATAAAATACTCATTTAATCTATTTACAATTCTATTACTGTCAACTACAAGTTCATCATCGAATTTAATTTCCTTAAAAGATGACTGATTTTTCTTATTGCCAATTAACTGCTTAAGTATTTTCCACATTTTCTTAGGATCGCGTTTGTTAAAATCTATTTCAGTCTTATAACACAGCTCTACAATAATTCTCAGTTGTTTCACAACCTCCATTTTTTCTCGGGTATATAATAGATTTTTCTGCAGTTAGTGTCCTGGTTTTTGATAAAGTTAAATTTGACGCTGATCTAGTTTGATAGTGTACAGTTTTAAATTTGAATTCATCTAACAAATATTTAGGAAGCAGATTATTTAAAATTTTGTGTATGAAAAGACAGGAATTAAAAACTATTTTTTGCCTTACAGACAACCAACCTAAAGTTTCAAGCATAGATTCTATTTTTGTGTATTTATTGACGCTTAATATTATGCGCATTGCGCGATTTTGAAGTTTTTTTAATTTATTTAAAATATTTTCATCATAATTCAACATTATTGTACAGCAGTACTCAAAATGCGGCAGTACTATTGTTTTATATATTTGACATTTAACATAATTTGTAACATTATTATTTAGTCTATTTATAACATTAATTTTTTTGATTATTTTTTTACTAATATAATCTGCATTCTGTTTAAAATTCAAATTATCGTCAATTATGATGCCATTATTATTATTATTATTATTATTGTGAACGGACGTTAGTAGTGACGCTCCATCAAAAATGTGGTGATAAAGTGTTTTATTAAAAAAATTAATAGTACGTTAGTGTTATAAATGAAGAGCTGATCCTGCTGTATTGAAATGTTTTATTGATTTTGTTGATGATACTAAAATTTTAACAATAAAATTGATTTTAAAAGTCTACACGGAGACAAAGGTTAAGTTTAGTTTTTCTGTTGAAGCTCAGTTTCCAATAAAACTATATATATTTTGCTGACGGTGATCTGAACGACATCTAGTTTAGGAATAACTGACGACATTCAATTAAGTTATCATTTTAAATTTAAATTCAAACTCTCGCAACATGAATAACAAATATATTTGTCAAAGGTGCAAAGGTGAAATTAAACGAATTGTGGAAACCTGTCAAACATGCCTAAAAGATTTTCATCCATCTTGTACGAAAGAACATAAAATTTACAATACTGCTGGTGAAAAGGTTTTATGTAAAGGTAATTGTGAGCTATTTAATAGATCTGTAATTGGTGACAAATATTATCGACGTAGTAGAAGATGGAACGAGGGTTACGAAGCAGAAGAACTTAATCCTAAGATTGACACTACTAGCAATGACAATAACAATACTAGTGATATAAACAATGATATAATGACTGCTGAAACTAGACAATATACTTGCGCTCGGTGCAAAAGCACTATATGTCGTATGGTAACATCTTGTAAATTATGTCATAAAGATTTTCATCCTGCTTGTGCTGACAAATATGTGCATAAAGTATATAACTGGAAGAATGAACTGGTACGATGTGTTGGACTGTATGAAACTATAGATCTTCAAAACATTAAAGGTTCGAGTACAACTGAGTGCATTCAATTAAAGGACAATACACAAATATTAAACTCTGAAACAAATCCCGCCGATACTTCTCATAATAATAATTTTTCTGAAGAATTCGAACACCAGACTCTATCTCTATTCAGTGAGATAGATAATATAGATACTGACAATATTACAGAGTTCAAACAAACATTAAAAAAACAAATTTTGGAACATATGCAAAAAATACAAAACGTACTCCACGAGAAACTAAAACAAGATTTTAATACCTTTTCAGAGAAATTCATAGAAAAATTTGAATCTTTGAAGTTAACAGTTACTACGAATCAGTCTGAAAAGCAAGTAAATAACAACAGTACTAATAATCTAAACACTAATGCAATTATTAATCAAACATCACAAATTACCGACATAGAGCGTATAATAATTCAACCAAAGACTGCGGCACCGTTTAAAGAAACAATAAGAGAAATTACAAATAATATTGACGTAGTTAATCTTGGTATTAATATCAAAAAAATATTGCCCAAACCTAATGGCAATATTATAATTGATGTTGCAAAAACCTCAGATAAACATAAACTAACGGAGGAGATTAATCGTCAGTTTGGTGATACATATAAAGTAAAAAAATGGAATCAATATCAACCTAAAATTAAAATTGTCGGGCTTGACGAAGCTATTATGTAGCTAAATGATGATATATTAATAAGCAATTTAATGACACAAAATAATTGGTCCAGTTTGAATAATAATCGCGTAGACAGCTCAATCAAAGTACTAAAAAAATACAAAACATCCCGGTATTGTTCTATAATTCTCCAGGTTAATACGTCATTACATGGATCTATATTGAATAATGGTAAAATCAGGTACGGTTGGAACTCATATAAAGTATACAACCATATTAGCGTTATTAGGTGTTATAAGTGTTGGGGTCTAAATCATACGGCAAATAAATGTACTAAAGATGAAAAGTGTAGGAAATGTGGAGAACACCATCATGAAAATCAATGCAATAGTTTAGTGAAAAAGTGTGTGAATTGTATTGAATTAGTAAATAAGCAAAAAGATGAAAATATCGATGTCCATCATGAAGCAACGAATCTGAAGTGTGAATTCTTCCAGAAATATTTACAAAAAAGACTGACAAATATAACAAACAATAGACAATAACAAATACTGCATAATAGAGTAGTACAAAAAAAATTATCAACACTTAGTATATTAGCAGTGAATGTATGCGGTCTATTAAAACACAAAGATGATATTGATTTATTAATTAGTGATCATAAGCCTGATATTTTGTGCCTTAATGAAACACACGTTATAGCGGATATTCTGGATGATGAAATTACCTTTGCAAATTATGATTCGGTACGAACAGACTCTAATAATAGTAGAACAGGTGGCGTTGTCACATATATCTTAAAAAATATAAAATTCAGTGTAGTTTTTAATTCTAGTGAAGCCAGTGAAAATACATGGTTACACTGTATAGAAATTAAAGGTATAAGTGGTAAATTCTACTTATGTAATGTATATA